GACTGCAGTGAATAAAACCACAACATTGGATGTGAACACATACTTTACGTGGGCTAAAAGGCTTGGGTGTGCCATTATTATTTTGCATAATTCAAAAGATGGACTTAACCTAGCCATCCCATGCGCTATTAGAGGATATTTTCAAAGTCCAACATGCAACAAAGTTGCTGGTGCTTTTAGAAACACCCATCCAAATACCCTCTCCAGCACCTGGAAGTAGTTGTGAGACTCTCTCAATACAAGCAGCCTGGAGCTATGCACATGAGCATATGCACATATACTCACATAATTCCATGTACATTCCATGAGAGAGAGAGAGAGAGAGAGAGAGAGAATAGTGCAGATATTCAGATGAACGGTACATTTTCATTTACTGTTTGGAAACATTTCTGAGAACTCTGGGTTACATTTTAATTTGGAACATTTGAATAGTGGGAATCCTGCTGTGAAAACCTGAAATTGTGCCAGCATGTACGTAATCTAGCCAGCTGTTCATTGCACACTCAGATGTGCAACCAGATGTGCATGTGGTTGTATGTCTGACTTATGACCTTTCTCTTCAGGCAGGCTTTTCCTTAATGACTGGTGGTCTGAGAAGGGTTTTAAATGGACTGTTGTGCTCTGTTGTTTTAATGTGTTTAATATTGATCTTAGTTACCATTTTAACGTAATACTTGTTTAATTCTTTTTAAACATTTGTATACTTACTATTTTTAGCTTTTAAATACTGTTTTAATGATGTAAGTTGCCTTCTGTCCTTTTGGGGAGAAAGGCTGGATAGAAATATTTTAAATAAATAAATAATAAATAAACAAATATGACAGACATTGAGCTATGATGGGTTTGCCCCTGGCACCCCCGTGGGCCGTCAATTGTCACCCAGAGCATCCTGGCAGGGTCCCTGAGCCCAGTGGTTGCTGAATCCGAGACACAAGCAGGGCAGGAATGACTTGCCTGGGAGGGGGCTGCCACTGATGAGTGCCACCTGGTGAAGGCCGAGGAGGATGGATCTACCCTGCAGCTGGGGACCAGAAAAGTAGCCTTAGAAAAGACAGGGGGAGGTCCTGATGATGATGATGGTTTAGGACGGTTTAGGACCTCGATACTTGGCGGAACGCTTACTCCCAACTAGTTCTACCCGTGTCACCCGCGCGAGCCAGGAGGTGAGGCTGAGGAGCCTGACGCCGAGGGAGGCCCAAAAGGAAAGAACTAGAAACCGGGCCTTCTTGGCGGTGGCTCCTCACCTCTGGAATAACCTGCCTCCGGAGATTCGCGCTGCATCCTTGCTGGGTACTTTCAAGAACCAACTAAAAACGTGGATGTATAGGCAGGCCTTCCCTTCCAGTTAATTCCTGACCTCTTTCCTTTTTTCCCCTCTTTATTTAATTTGTTTTGTATTTTTCCCATCTTGCAGAATCATTTAATTAATTAATTGTTATAAATTTTTCTTGAACTTGTTATGCTTTATGTTGTTAGCCGCCTAGAGTGGTCGAGATGACTAGATAGGTCGGGGTATAAATACAATAAATAAACAAATAAATAAATGATGGGACCCCTGCACTTGGTGGGGAGATCCTCCAACCTAGAGAAGGAAGCTGAAGGGATGATGCAAGGGAGGAGTGGGGAGAAGCCCTGAGCACAGGTTTGGGATTCTGATGAGGATTGGGATGACATCTAATGTAACGACTCTTGGAGAGGAGTCCTCATTTGTCTCAGGGTCCTTGGCCCAAAAGAAGCTTGCCCTTCTTGCTGTTTTCCACCCCAACACCAGGGCAGCTGCTGGCAGCCAGTGCCAGGCCAAGCCAGCTCCACTTCCACGCAGAGGTGATGCTGGAGGCAGAAAAGACAAGAAGAGCTCCTGCCACCACTATCTGCGAGCCTCAGGCCTTGCCCAGGCTGCAGGCTTATAAGCCCTCCCTCCCATGAGACTCCACCTTTGGAGACTTATGGAGGCCTCCTTTGAAGGAAACTAAGGACTCACAAGCCCAGTGGACTTAACTAGGGGTCCGGACCAGACTGAACTATCACAGGGGAAAGTGTAATGAACTTCATCCATAGCCGGGACTGTGAGAGTGGAATGAACTCCCAAGCCTATTGTTTCCTAGTTCAATAAACCCTTTTGTTGTTGATTTGAACTGAGTGGAGCCTATGGCTACAGGGACAGAGAAGGAAGTAATCCATACCGTAGGTGTGAATCACAGAGAACATGAAGAAGAACTATGTTATCAACACAGTATTGCATCTAATTCAAGCAGTAAATAGATGACATATATTTATATATTCATTTATTGAACCAAAAAAAGCAAAACCACAAAATCATTATACAACTAGACTCTCAGGAGGCTGTAGTTATTCTGACATTTTGGGCCTAGTGTCGTTCACAATATTTAAAAACTTAGCAACATTAAGATCAAATGGACTGTTCTAATTATATACGATTATCAATTTTCTGCATCAGGAAAAAAAACCCCAAGTTTCTTTCCTAGAAGGTCTTGAACAACAGCTGCATTACATGAAGAATCAGTGGCCGCTGTTTAGTTATCACATTCATAATTAATGAATTGGATCCTGACTCAGTCATGCCCAGAAGAGAGCTGCAGAAATACATGGGATAAATTAGACATGGCTTATCTATTTTAGTTGGTTTCCTCTAAGATGACCAAGTCTAGATCCAACTCATTCCATTTCTTTTGCATGAAGTAAAATTGCCAAGAGGTCCCCCATCAGACTCACCTGTGCCTTTTTTCAGTAGCATTGTTTCATTGTGTGCCTTTAAGACCATGCCCTCTGAATATACATGCAAAACATTCCCTCATAACGGGACTCAAGAGTCAAATGCCTCTTGCTGTCTAGTGCTATTATGCTTTATGGAGGTTTAGAAACAATGACTTGTTTTTTGATGATTTATTAATGACTGCAGAATCGGAAGATTACAGAGCTGTTCATGCGGTAGTTCTTCCAAATCACATCCACACTTGCGGAAGCACACTGATCTGTCCATTAACCAAGTGAGCTTTCTGCATCAGGTAGTGGACCACCAGGAGTGGTATATTGTGCTGCTTCTGTACTTCTCAGAGAGACAGATGGCTACCATTGCATTTTCTCCCTGCCCCCCCAAAACCCCTCACCCACTCTTGTATGGATAAAGCAGCAGTAGCCACACAAAACAGCATAGTGCTGCTTTACATACACAGCACCAAGTAGACCTTAAGGCTGGCTCTGTGTAAAGCATCAGCAACCACTCAGATCGTATCTGGCTGCTGTCATTCCTTCAGCATGGTTTGACAACTGGATGGCTAACTGATTGGACAGCCAGAAGCAGGGGGATGTTGCTGTAGCCCTCCTACAGCCCTCCTTTGGTCCTCCTTGATATCTCAGCGTCCTTTGATACCGTCGACCACAGTATCCTCCTGAGGCGGCTCTCCGAGCTGGGGATCGGTGGCCTCACTTTGGCATGGCTCTGTTTCTTCTTGGGGGACTGTTCCCAGAGAATGCAGCTTGGTGAGATGACTTCCACCCTGTGTATCCTCAATTGTGGGGTTCCACAGGGGTCGATAATCTCACCAATGCTATTTAATATCTATATGAGGCTGCTGGGGGAGGTAATCCGGAGTTGTGGGCCTCGGGGTCATCAGTCCGCTGATGGCACCCAGCTCTACCTCTCCTTTTCTCCAACTGCAGTGGATGCTGTTCCATTCTTTGAACGCTGCTCAGGGACCGTTCTGGGGTGGATGAAGGCAAATGGACTGAGGTTGAATCCGGACAAGACGGAAATCTTGCGCATGGGTGGCCCCGGCATCAGTGGGTTGAGAAACTCCCTTTTCTTTGGGGGAGTGACTCTTCCCACGAAGAATGAGGTTCGCAGCTTGGGCATCTGTCTGGACCCAGTTTTCACCATGGAAACTCAGGTGACATCTGTGGTCCGGGCAGCCCATTTCCATCTGTGGAGGATTGCCAGCTGCATCCCTATCTAGTCCCAGGGACTCTCACGACTTTGATTCATGCACTCGTACTCTCTACGTGGGGCTACCCTTGAAGTTGATGTGGAGACTACAACCGGTTCAGAATTCGGCGGCCAGATTAATAACTGGGGTGAAGAAATTTCAGCACATCTCCCTAATTTTGGCCACCCTTCATTGGCTATCCGTTTATTTCTGTATCAATTTCAAGGTTATGATGCTAACATTCAAAGCCCTAAACCGTTTTACGACCTCGGTATCTATCAGAACGCCTGCTCCCAGTCAGATCTGTCCGTAATACCCGTTCTTCACAGGCAGGGCGGTTGAGGGCCTTGACCCCGAAGGAGGTCCGGAGGGAAATAACAAGACGCATCCCCCCCCCCGGTTGAACAATCTGCCCATGGAGATACGCCTGGCACCCTTGTTGGACGGGTTCAAAAGAGCATTGAAGACCTGGCTCTTCCGTCAGGCTTTCCCTGCGCATTACGTTGCTGATATCTCTGCTTCCCTTTTATCATCCTTTTTTGCCATCCTTTCATCATCCTTTCTATCATCTTTATATCCATCTGTTTTAATTTATCCTTCTAGTCATGGTATCTGTTGAATGGTTGTATTATTTTATTCTTATTGTGTTTTAATATTGTGTTGTTGGTCTTGTTGTTAGCCGCCCAGAGTGGCCTGGTTGCCAGATGGTGCAGGGTATAAATCTAACAAATAAATAAATACCCACTGCTCCAAGTCACACTGATGGGGGGAGAGGTGGGGAGGTGAAATAAAATGACAAACTGGGCAAGTTAGATGGCAATAGTGATGGGGCAAAAGTGGCATTTCCCCACGCTGCTCAAGAGGTGGATGACAGCTACTTTAACACATAAGCAAGCACCAGCTTGCATCATAGGAGGGTGTACTAAGCTATTCAAGAAGAAATAATTAGGACACAAGCTAACCATCCTTCATGCATAAGCCGTGGAAGAATAATCTATTTGTGCTGCTTTCATTGTAAAATAGGATGTATTACTAACTTCTTACAAATTTTCTCACCTCTGGTCCTGGAGGGCCCATTGGTCCCTGGGGTCCTGGATCTCCAATTCTACCCTAAAAATAGAACAGGCATTATGAACTCAATTTTTTTTCTGACCTGGTCTGCTCAAAATATTTTCTACTTCTTAATAAAACTGTAAATATAAAGTCAGTAAAAAGTAAATCAGTAAAAAATAATTGCAAATATATAATTATGCAAATGATGAGTGTTTTTTTCAAAATAGATAAATGAAATATTTTGTTTTTTAAAAGTTGTTTGTTTTTAAAAATCTGTTTTTAAGAAAAGAATTCATTTCTCTATCACTTTGCCGTCAGAGTGGTCATAATAATCCTAACAGGGCTTCCAATGCAGGCAAAATATTTATGAAGTGGTTTTATCCGTGAGTTTCCACAGCCAAGCAGGGATTTGAGCCCAGGTCTCCTGGTATAATAATGCTCTTTAATCTTTGGAAATCTTATTGCTTGATCTGTGTTGAATTAATGATAAATTATTTTCAGTTTAGTACCCATAATATTCCTGCTGTAAGAAAGAACATCTGAAAACTTCCCCTGTGTCTGATATCCATAAAGCCCAATGGCTTATGAATCTCAGTACTATTACTCCTATACTATATGAATCATTCTGAAATTCAGATTATGGATGTCAAATTAGGCAAGCAGCTTTGCATTTAGAAGCTGACAGCACACTAAACATTCCCCTGACAGGATTTTGCCGAGCTTGATGCCTAAGCAAACTAACATGCTCACATTTACTTCCCAATGGCTACTCATAAAACAGTAAGATATTGATGGTTAGAAAAGTTCATTCTGGGACAAACAGATACCGTTCAGCAGTTAATCCACACTTTTAGGGGTGTGAGTTGCCAATTAAAATAGTTTTAAAATACAGACAACATATGCGTTAAGACGTACCATGGGACCTGGCTTTCCTCTAATTCCTGGCAGTCCTGGCAAACCAGCAGCACCCTTTGAGAAAAGCAGAGTAGCTATAATTTAAGTAAAATTTATCGCCATTTGGTCTCACTAAAACTCAAGGAAAGACAGTGCAGTATTGTCCGAGAAAATCACTAGTGTTTTTTAATTCAAGCAAAAAAATTACAGTGGTGCCTCGCAAGACAAAAGTAATTTGTTCTGCGAGTAGTGCTGTCTTGCAAAATTTTCGTCTTGCAAAAAGCGGTTTCCCAGAGGGAAACCTATGGGAACCTCGCAAGGCGAAAATAATTCATTCGTCTTGTGAGGCATAGGTCTTGCGAAAAACATTCATCTTGTGAAGCATGGCCATAGAAGAAGCTGTCTTCTTCTGCAAGACACCACAGCGATTGCAAAAACCATTCATCTTGAGGGTTTTTCGTCCCATGAGGCGTTCGTCTTGCGAGGCACCACTGTATTTGGTTTTGCTCAAATATTTTTAAATATTTATTTATTCATGCATAACAGATTTTTGCGATGATCTATATTCCATCACATTTTGTTTGCAATTGTATAAGAAGCATTGATTATTTGCCATATAGATGATAAATACATGATATATCCAGTACTGCAGGCACTAGATCATAAAACTGCAATTCTCCACTCTGCATCCTCTGATATGCCCTCAAAATTTGGATCATAGGGCTATGAATTGATTTCAAAGTATTAATGATGACATATAAAGCCCTAAATGGTTTAGAACCTCAATATCTGACGGAACGCCTTCTCCCATCTAGATCTACCTGTATCACTCACTCTAGCCAGGAGGGGCGGCTGAGCGGCCTAAGGCTGAGGGAGGTCTGAAGAGAAAGAACAAGAAAGCGGGCCTTCTTGGCAGTGGCCCCTCGGCTCTGGAACAAACCCCCCCCCCCCCCCGAATTTTTTCTGCGTCCCTCACTGGATGTTTTTAAGATCCAACTTAAGACCTGTCTCTTCGGAAAGGCCTTACCTCCTGTCGATGCCTAACTTATTTTGCCATCCTCTAGTGCAGTAATGTTATTGTTTTATTTTATTTTAATATTGTTGTTATTATTTATTTATTTATTTGATTTATACCCCACTCATCTGGTCAAATTGACCACTCTGAGCGGCGGAGAGTGTTAGCCGCCCAGAGTAGACTTCGATCTAAATGGGTGGGATATAAAATAAATAAATAAGTAAGTAAGTAAGTAAGTAAGTAAGTAAGTAAGTAAGTAAATAAATAAATAAATAAATAAATCCCTCTGGATGAAATAGAAGGATTGTGAAAAGAGCTGTGGTGGCAGAGATGGGAGAGTTCCACTGCACTAGCTGAAATACACTAAAAGAAGAATTAGTTCTGAATAAATCTCTGTAAGAGATTTTAATTGTTTCAAAAAACAATTAAAAACACTGATGTTTCGGCAGCCCTTCCCCTCAACCAATTCCTGATTTTCCCTCTTTTTTCCTCTCTCCTAGTGTCTGTTCCATCTTGTCCAAAGTTTGTCTCCTTTTTAAAATTGTTTTAATTATATTGTATCACGCTTGTTGTAAGCCGCCTAGAGTGGTCTTAAGTGACTAGATAGGTGGGATATAAATAAAATAAATAAATAATAAAATAATAATAAGATTGTTCCTTCAGTGATAAATGAACACAATATAGGGCCGCTTTGTATAAAACGTTCACACGTCAACAACGTGTTGAGATTAAAAGAAATGGTTATTTCTACGATTATTAAACCTTTATACAGCTTTGATGACATAGAGCCCTTATTAATTACCTTGTCTCCTGGATAGCCCGGCTCCCCTTGCTCTCCTGCAACGCCTTGATCACCCTAAACAACACATTATTATATTCAGAAACACAAAAAGCATTATTAGTAGTAAGCTTTATACAATCCAGCTTTATACAATGGGCAGCAAGTAGTAGACACCACAGTATTAGTTTTCCACATGACTATAACAGAAATATTTTGACATGGGCTTTTTATTTCATAGCCAAAGTACAGTCTCCAGCTACATCACCAAGTATGATGTCAGAGTCTCTAACAATTAGAACAGTCCATAATTTCTGATGTGATTGTTCACAGGCATAGAGAACTACAGCAGGAAGTGCATGTAGATTTTCAGCACTGACTAGAAAACAAAGCACTAGAGGATATATCGAACCTTATCAGAGATGCTTTTTTTAAAATGAGAAAGTATACTTGCACATAAGGTTCAAAGTTAAAGTAACTCTGATAATGAAGCTCTTTAGATCACCTTATCACCTTTCAATCCAGGTTGTCCCATACTCCCCGGAAGACCCTAGGAAAAGAAAAGGTGGTGGGGAGAATAAGTACTATTGCTTCACTGTTTGGCAGAGGAATAAAAGAATAACAACTACTCTATTTGCCATTGTTTGGCAAAATGGTCACGTATGAATTAAATAATACTGTACCAGAGGTCCAGGAATTCCCGGTAGTCCAGATGGTCCGACTGGTCCTATCACACCCTAAAGGATGATAAATAGCAGATCAATTATCACAAAGCGTGAAGCTGTCTGAAGTTGCACTGAATTTCTTAAAAGCTTCCAAGAGAACGTATCTCAGTTGTCCAGGTTAGAGATTTTTTTCCAACAGCTTTTTTTTTTTGGAAGGAGGAGCTTTAGGTGCTAAAGAAAAGAATAGGCCCTACAATTAGCTCCTGGGTCCTAGGTTCTCCATTCTGGTCTAAATGGATTGCAAATGAACCAATAAGCACATGATCACACCTGCTGCCATTTTTAGAAGTCTAAACAGCTTCAGAGTGGAGTGGAGTTGATCTACTCAGAGCTACTGCAAAATAAGTGTTTAAGAAAGTGGTGATTAACCCTATCCACTATAATTTTCTCCATGTAAGGTACTCTTTAAAGGAACTGTAGGGGTGAAATCAGTTTAACCAGAAAAACAGTACAGTGAAGGTTTAAGCCCTTCCCTCAACTTCACTTCTCAGAAAGATTCTTGTCCTTCTACAAAAGTGTTAAACAATAAACTTAAACTTTAATTTTTTAAAAAACTGCAGTATATTCAATCAGGGATCTTTTGATTTTATGACTAATTGTACCCTGAACTGAGGACTATGGATAATGCAGGTAGAAGAATAATTACAATTTTCAGTTATACAGAGATCTGGAGTAGATGAATTTTCAGTTTTACAAGACTTTATCCATTTTACTCTTCTGTGCTATTTTTATACTGCCACTGTAATCATTTACAGAACCTCCATTACAGGGTAGCACAGAGAGACAGTAAACTAAGGGCTTGTTTAGATAGGTATATAGGTTGCCACTTGGATTGCTTTTGATGTGGTTTGGTTTGAACCAAATCACAGCATCTACACATTTTTCAACTTAAAATAAATCTATCCTGCCCCTTTAAGAGCTGTCCTGCTCCTTTCTGGTGCAGTGGTTGAACTTCAGTTTTTTTTGGGGGGGGGAGTTGTACGATTCAGCACATTTTTTTTTGCTCACTGTGTAGTGTAGCCTGTGCAGATGGTTATTTTGCTCCCAGAAGGAGTTGTGGATGGTGTAACCTGACGTGACAACTCTTTGATGTACAGTATTAGGTAGGTTGTGACATTAAAAGGGACAATCAAGAACCACCTCCTCTATTTTGTCTTCTTCTTCTTCTAAATACTTCCCTAAATGACACAGTGCAATTCTAATACCATGCTAGATTGACGCATTGCTGTTTTGATATGCCACTTACTTTATTTAACAAAAGAATTGTTTATTAAAAATATGTACAAGTCACCTTTCTGCCCAGAGAGTAGTTCAACTGATGTCCAGTTGAAAACAAAATCAGAATAAAATGAAATAAAAACAAACTCAATAAAATTAGCAGTGGAGACTTACATATACAGTATAAAACAAGAAAGAGAACATAAATGAAATGCTAGATGGAATAATACAATCTTTACTATTCTTCCTAAAGTGCAGAAATTCAGGGGCCATTTGATCTCTCTACGTGAAAAGTTTAATAATCAGAGTTCTGGTATTGGAAAGGTTTTGTCTTGCACACCTTTCAACCTAACCATATTAGGTGATGGGTCAACCCACATGATCTCTAGTGATGATAACAGATTATGGGCAGCATCATATAGAAGATAGGCTTTTAGATACACTGCCCCCAAGCCATGGGTAAGGTCAAACACCTTACAGAGGGATAGCAGGTCTCAGGGTGCAAGCTGCGCAGAGAATTACAAAGCTTCCACAGATTTGAAAGGAAGCAGATAAACCTTAGAGCAGGACATGCTGGAGGAGGAGAAATTTGATTTTTACCTGTGAAGTACCTTGAAAGCCAGGGCATCCATCCTCACCCATCTTCACCCATTCCCAGGTAGTTCCAGGACATAGTGGCTCAACACAAAGGTGTTTCCATGTATACTATACTTATGTAATGTCAGCACACCAAACACCCAGGAGGGAGGGAAGGGCTCTATAAGAGGGAGCTGCTAGATTGTACAGGGTGCATGCACTTGGACTCATCATGCTATCTAGAGCAAAGCAGGAAGTAGAAGGCTTATATTGCAACTCATGAGCCTTCTTGTTACAACAGCATTCCTGGCAGGAGTGGTATAGAGTCAGGTTTAAAAAAAAAAAAAGATTAGACAATAAACCTAGCTGTAAGGCCCAGAAAATTCTCCATGTATCACGAGATGTAGGGATGTAACAAGTACTCACAAAATGCCTTGTTCTGCAGCGGCAGAGACTGCGGGGGCAGCAGGCAGAGGGCAGCGGGGGCAGCTTTGAAAGCCCAGGAAAGTGGCACCCAGCGCGGAGGTTGGGGCGGCTTCCGGCTTCCCAGGCTTCCAAAGCAGCCCCCACTACCCTCTGCCTCCCATCCCCACTGCCTCCGCTGCTGCAAATTTTTGGATTCTTTTTTTTGCAGCCCCAGGGGCTTGCTCTCTCTCTCTCTCTCTCTCTCTCTCTGTGTGTGTGTGTGTGTGTTCTCTCAAGGGGACATCCTCCTAAAGCACATTAAAGTAATCCAGCTGGGTTACTGCTGGGGACCAGCTGGAAGCTCTCTACCTCATGGAATGCAAGGATGGCATCTTCAAACAAGGCTTTCATTTGCCTCATTTTCTGTGATGCAATCCTACTGACACTCTACCAATTTAGACTACCTACAGGAGAATACATACTTACACGTTCCCTTACATTAGAAATAGAGATATCTGTAACTGGCACACAAATGTATCAGTCAGCACGTTTTATGCTTGTTCTTTCTTTCATATACCACATGAGTGTCCTGATCTGGAGATCAATGATGCCAAAAAATTATCTGAAGAGTGAGCAAGTTGTTCCTAAATGGATAAATGCAATCTAACTGGAAAAAGGGGTTTTATAGCTCAAAACAGCTAATGAACCAAGTAATTTGGCATCAAATATTCCCTGAAAAAAGGCTTACATTTGTTGGCTCTTCTTATGGGTCCTTTAATATCAAATTCTGAACCACACACTTTGAGCAGATTGCTTTCTGATTACAAAATGCATGATTGCCTCTTTCATTTAAATGTACACACATGTTCCTTCATATCATTTATTTCCAGAACTTCAAAAGTAGCCACCATGCCATTAGCCTTAGTATTTTCTGGCAAAGCCCTCCTTAGTCCTGTTTCCAGTTATTTACATTTTTTTTCTTTTTACAGTAGAATATTGAGATTTGATTTAAACCACACTTAATTGTAACTAAGCGCCACTGATTTCACTGGAAGTTGCTTTCTTCCAAGTGTGCTTGGGATCTCAGCCATCGTCTGTAAGCAGTGATTTGGCACTGGCTTAATGTACTTTTGTCTAGAAACAGGCAGTCCAATGTTGATGTTATGGAAATATACATATGGCAAAGTCTTGTGCTGCTCTAAAAGCCAGCTGAAACTATTCCAGCCCTAAGAAAGAAAGAGAAATAACTTAGGTCCTGTGTGTGTTGATTTAGACTCACATGTGAACTTGGATGGAAATGAAGGTTTTCTACAAGTATTGAATAGGGAAATAATTCCACTACAGGGAAGGAATACTTTCTCCTTGTGCTACTTGCTACTTAGCAACACCCAAGAGAAACACATTAAAAATTCTGTTTTAGGAAGCAAAACCAAAGAATGTGACGAAAAATAGAAGTTATGGCATTGAAAAGCACATTGTGTAACACGATGACTAAAGAACACAACTCCATTCACTTCTTGCAGAGTAAGAAAAGAGATTGCTTTTAGTTTATATGGTGTGTTGCCAAACGTTTGGGTACACGTCACAAAATCAGGTATAAATACAGTACAACATCTGAATCCATATTCGATCCTCTTTAACGTCACTACAAGTACGTTATAGGAAACATGACCAAAAGATACACATACATAAAGTACAGCTAGTTTTGCCACTGATTTCAATTAAGAATCATTATTCAAGTATATATTCATGCCACAGGACTTTTTATTATGTTTGCACAATTCACCACAAGGCAGGAACCTTTTGTAATCAGAACTGTACTGAAAAAGCAGCTTGTAACACATAAAACAGAATCAGAAGTCCAAGCAACAGATACGTCTGTGAATTCCAGAAGTCACCACCAGATGCTATATAAATGTTATGACTTGACCACATTAAATGTACGTACATGATCAGTTTATGTACTTCTCATGTGCCTGCTGGGATAGTTGTGAGGTATGAGGCCGAGTACAACCCGGGAAGAATTATAGAACTGGTTAAAGATTATAGTTTTAGAACAGGTCGCTGTGTTAGTCTGTGTCTGAGGAAGTGGACTTGTCCACGAAACCTAACATTAAAATACAGCTGTAAGACGGCACAATGTTTTTGTCTTTTTAATTTTTCTTTTGATTTTTCCCTGAAAGGGTTGGTTATATACAATTACAGCTTCTCACTGAAAGACTGAAAGCCTGCCAGCAGAATGGGAAGGGAGAGATTCCCTCTCTCTCAGTAGCCCTGCACATCCCTCACAAACTGGTCTGGAGCATGTGAGCACCTTCCAGAGCAGAAATGGGAGAGGCATGGGATGGTGAAGGAAATATAAAGTTCTGCCACGTACGCAGTGGCCTTGGATCTTGCACATGGAATCTGATGGCCAGTCATCAATGCCATGACTTACTCTGTCTTTACAGACTGGTTATCTCATGTTTCTTCCAAAGATTTTGAGCTGCAATGCCTTTAAAAAGGTGGGTGCTACAGAACCATAGGCTAAACCAATGCAGCTCACATGGCCATAATCCATGAGGATACATCATTTATTACTTTTTTTAAAAAATCACATAACAAAGATGTATAATTTGAGTTACAGCCAAATCTGGTATGCTTTTTATTTAAACTTCATCTATTCATACCACTAGCCCTGAAACAAGCACATCTTGTTACTTTCTGGTACTCCTTCTTCTGGTGTTCATAACCCCAAGGCAGGAGGAAAAGTGAATAATGGTAGGGAAAAAGCCAGGTAATGATCTCTAGCAGGGAAGGACTATAAGTAAAAGTAATTAACAACGGCTTATTATAATAAGCTTATAGTCATTCTTGATATAATGAATCTTCCAAAATGCTGAGAATGCAGAAATGTCACAACACTGCAAAAGCTGTATTTCCTTTACTGCCCTCTTCCAACAAGTTACTGGAGCATACTTTTGAACTGTTCTAGAGCTATGATGTTTCCATAGAGCTGCACCTACAGTTAGGCACAGTGAGATAGCTCCCAAGGTGATTCTGGCAATTATTAGAGTGTAGAAAATGTTTTGTTACTTTATTTACTATGACTGAATTTTCCCTGGAAAATATGGAGATGTGGATACTAGAGAACTCACCCATCGGAGTTACAAAGAACCCTGATTTGCAGAAGTGGGGGAGCACCATTTGCTCATCCTTGTGTAGAAAACTGATTTGTGTTTTTGGCCCTTTCTCGGAAGTCTGTATTCACACAAATCTGTGCATTTTCTGCAAGTGGTATATATCAAGTCCACATGATTCTGTTACAGTTCCACTTGCCAGAAGCCCCACTTTTTGCTGTAATTATGGAATCACAATAAACTGAATAAAGTAAAATGACCTAGAATCAGAGTACAGGAAGCCATGGACAAGATCTCCTGGTTCAGACTGCAAAATCCAGTTTAATCTTGCTATTTAACACATTATCCTTGAAATCTTGTCTATTTTAAGGAGAATGATTTTTCTCTATGCCAAATAATATTAAAAAATACCTGGACATTTGAAGAAGGAACATTGGAAGAAATGCATACTCACTCTAAGTCCAGGAAATCCAGGAGGGCCAGCACCACCCATAATTCCCTTTCAAAAAACAAGCATTTGAAAATATCAATTAAAAATAAGTATATTTCTTAGTAAAAAGATTAATATACAATTAAACTATACACTGCATATGGAAGCTGGGCCACTGTCTCTGAAGATGACAGTGGTGGAGGACAAAGAGAGAGAGAGGCCGTAGGACCAAGTAGAGAGTCAACAGAGGCTCTAGGAAGGGAGTGGGCAGGCGGCAGATGGGGTGGAGGCATTAGGTCTCCTTCTCCCAGGTACAAACTGAAAAAACAACAACTATGAACTGATTCGTTTTTCTGGGGTTAATGGGTGGTTCACAGTTTGTGGGTAGCCATAAACCACTCTGCTTCATCATTTTTCTTGTTCATGTCCATTTCTATTCATTAATTCTATCCTGTATCATCGTTTACATCTCAATTTATCTGCAGAGTATCCACCGAAACTGCCAAATGAAGGCTACATTATGTTTTTCAATGAACAGACCACCATGATTTGCTGTTGACTTTAAAATCTTTATGGACATGTAGGCAATTGACTGATTGGCCATTCACTGCTGTACACAATGATCTGTACAGAAATTACATTTAGAGAATAACACACACGTACACAAAACAATTAAATGGCTAGGTGTCCCCATATGAGACAGAGCATTGGGACACTGGGGGGGAGGGGAGTCAGAAACGTTTAATTAATGATAAAAATCTGAGGCTGGTGACATCATCAGCCTATGTGCAGAGTGACACCAACAGGATTTAACTACAATATAGAAAGGCAAACTCATCCTGGGTTTCTAAAACCTAGCTTTAAGAAGTCACTTCTTCTCTCCGTCTTCTTCCTAGCCAAACATTTGTACTGTTAGATTGGGCATGGCACATTACAATCTTAGTAAGTGCATAGGTGCATATGCATGGAGAGAGACGGAGCATGCATATGCATAAGAGCCCAAAGCCAAGACAGGTGGACAAGTACTTTCATGCAAACGATACAAGCATGGGTCTGTACTTGCATGTTCTGTTTACATGGTCATGATCTCTAATCAAGAATAGATTTCAGTTCATCAGCAGATATACATGTTCTAACCTCATAAATTTGCAAGGAAATTTCACTACCTTCGGACCCACCACACCTTCTGTTACAGGATGTGTAATAAATATCTTATTAGCTGTGTGCCCTGATGCAATATCATCCACTTCACAGCACCCCAGCAGCTGCAGGCTTGGCAACTGGTCAAAACCAACCTTGGGGAATGGGTATGACTGGTTGTTTTATCGCAGTAGTTGTCACAGACAATTAGGAGGAACTCATTTGCAACTGGATTTATTGACTCATTTTTCTAAATGTTTGCAATTTCACTGAACAGGTTAATGTTTACATTTTAGAACACAGGCTTCCAAGTTTGATCTTACTGTTAAATGGTTTGCTCTGATGCAACCATCATACAAAGTTGTTTCCCAGTTGTTTAAAAGATATTACAAAGTAGTGGCTGACAACAGAAAATGTAGAATTCTTCCCCACAAAAGCCTGAAGTCTCATACATTGTTTATCAAATAATCTTCCAATTGACAGACCACTGCTAAGAAACCTTTTAGAAGTGTTTTTAAATGTTTGGAGATATTATTATCAAAGGCTTCTGTCCAACTGTTACTACCTATTTCATGAGTTCAGATGTGAAATAGTTATAGAGGTTTAAATAATACAAGCGATTATTTATTTTGTTTCTGTTGGCAATCCTAATAGAGATCACACTCTGAAGTATTGGAAAATCTGCAACTCAGAATAATATTTTCAGAATACTTTCATTATTGCTGAGAACATTAGTGATTCTAGGATGGCGATCATCAGTAGCCCTGAGAGGTAATTCTTACTGAGAGGTAGTTCTTTGAGCAGCAAAACTGAACGGCTCTTAAATAGAGTGAATTGTAACTCTATAGAACTCCTGCATCTTAAGACCTGTCCCAGTGCAGCCTTCTCCATAACCAACAGGTTTAATGCAATACTGCTAAGCTAGAGATTGAGGAAGTAGGTGGTGTACAACAGATTATATTTTCAACTCCACCGTCTAACATATTAAGCCCTCACTGGCAGGGGCCCAAGTTATCTCAAGGATCGCATCTCCTTTTATGAGCCTGCTTGAGTATTAAGATCATCAGGAGAGGCTTTTCTCTCTTTCCCACCACCTTCACCGGCGCATTTGGTGGGTACATGGGAGACGGCCTTCTCTGTTGCTCTCCCACACTTTGCAACTTATTCCCACAGGAGGCTAGGCGGGCCCTATCCTTACTGGCCTTCCACAAGCAGGCAGACCTTTCTCTTCAGGTGGGTTTTCCATGACTGACTGGCTGTCTGAGTGGGGTTTTCAAATGGGTTGTCTAATCTTAAGGGAGCTTGGAGGTGTCAAGCACTGAATAAATTCACTTGAAATTAAGAAAATGCTTTGTCTGAAACTTGTTCTGGTTTGTACTATAATGGAGACAGAGGGAGAGTGACATCTTACTTACAGGACTTCCATCAGAACCAGGTGGCCCTCTGTTTCCAAAATCACCTGGCAAACCCTGATTAAAACGAAAATATGTTTGTTAGCAATCACAGTACACACATGTACATATATCTAAATGAGAAAGCTTCCTAACAAATACATTCTCTTTGGAATCTCTAGAAACATGGCAAGAGCTTTTGGTACAATTACTGGTTTTCCTGATTTGACAGCCTGATTCATGCATTAATGCGGTTTTCAGCAATGTTTTGAACATTTCAACGAGCCATAACAACAACACAACTGAACTGTATTACTGGAAATACCTTTCTTTGCAATCAATTTACCTGTTCAGCTGTTGATCTCCAAACACACAGTCATTAAGCACAGAGAGGTCAACAGGTGCATATGAATCATGGAAACATATATATATTAACAAAAGACAGCAGAGCTAAAATAAACATGCACCAAATTCCAAGTCATGCATCTGCTGCTGGGTGGCACAATCCATACTGCTGTTGAGGTTAGTGGGGGAAAAAAAAGAACATTCCTTTGCATAAAAACTCAGACAGCTACCATGTTCAAGAGAGATTTGGAATGGTACAGATTATAATGCATTTCTACTGCATCTTACAGAATTTACAGCATCAGCCCAGACTAGAAACATTTGCTAGAACATCACAATAAATCCTGTGTTATACAGACACTAGCAACACATCCTGCATTAGAAGGGGACTGAAAGAAATCTAGCTTGTGTGGCAGAATGAAAATCAGTGAGGAGAAGCCATTTATTTACTGGATCTCAGAAACTTACCAGCAGTTGCGGCTTGATGGCAGCGCTGCCAGAGGATAGCTTGGAAGGCACTGTGTTGGTATGTAGCTCCTTAACAGCCAGTCAGCGGCCAATGTGAAAAGAGACTAATGAGCCATCTAACGCTGCTGGCTATTTACCAGCTGTACACCAGTGCGGTGCCTCCCAAACTAGCTTGGCACTGTTGAGAGACAGAATTCTGAATCACTAAGTAGTTCTGTGTTAACTGATGTTAATGATCATGATTTCTGTTAATCTTCATAGATTTTTCTGGCATAAATTGCTCAAAAGCCTCCCTGGTGGCATTCTGGGCCTGTGCAGCTTGCCCCAGGTTCAGGGAAAATTTGAACTACAGGCCCATTAGCGCTACATGTGCTCCAAACCACTGAGTTATATCAACAACTTTTATAATCATGGTAGAACAAGGCAATTCTTTGATTTGTGGGTTTCAAAGTTTTAAATCCATAGCTACATATTCAGAAAACTGAGAAGTCCTAAAAAAACAAGGGTGGAATCTGAAGAAATGCCCAGCTCTTGAGCAACAGACCCTCTCCCTTGGATCCCTTGGCTATTCCCTTCACTCTTCACTAGAAAGTGAATTTTAAAAATCCTACTAGCCATGCCCAGACTCTTGGGGATCGCAAAACAGTTCCCGAGATCCAAGTTTAAACTCTTATTATACGTTATTAGAATGTGTCTTGCCTCTGCCCAAGTAAGTTTCTCCCAATGTAATTTATATACCACTTTTAGCTATTTTGGGGTATACAATGTTTGTAGCATTAAAAAAAACACTAGCTGTTGTGCTACTGTAGAACATCTCATGAAGGAAGTCTATTAACATTTTATTAGGAACTGTGATTGATTCTTCTTGCTATTACTGAGCTACATGGGAAAAATTTTAATAAAATTTATGAAGTGTTCTATATCACACTGACTTCTAGCTAAAAGAAAGCCCCCCCACAGAATTTATTTCCCTGGTCAAATATAAAGTCTGTAAAATTCTGCGTTGCATATAATACTATTGGCAGTAACTTTAAAATATGGTAAAACTTGCCAGATTTCATGTAATATACATATGTGGAAAAGAAACTTGATATATATGTTTCGGATAACAGTGCATTTTATTTAAGAATACTATATATTCAGCATATTGAAAATGCTTGCACTCCAAACCCTATAATTTTCTTAACTGTAAATTTAACCAGTTTAATATTTTGTTCCATTTCATTTATGCCAATAAATATTTTAAGTACTAATCACAAATACTCTACACTGCTCACCAGTAGCCGTTTTCCTCATGAAGGCACAGTTTTAAGGCTATCAATCAGTAGCAAAAAAAATAACAAATAGGGAGCCACGTTTATTTTCAAAGCTGTATGCCAGTGTTAGCAGGGTGGGTTGGGGAAATCAAAGAGATTTGAGAGTTGTAGGAGATTATTCATGGAAACAAGACCAATATTTTTCAAACACCAAAATGTTCTTGAAGATCTATTCTTCTTACAGAATTTTTTCACAGTGTGACAATCTGCTAAAGGGCTGCTCTGTTAGTCTGCTGTGGAAAAAACAGAAGAGCTCTCTAGCACAGTGGGGCCGGGGTCTGTACATGGGGGGCATGGCATGCTTGTGGATGGGCGTGGCTCGCTTGTGCGCATGTGCGGATGGGCAGAGAGTGCTTGTGGACGGGTGGGGTATGCTTGTGGGTGGGCGGGACACCCATACATGCTGGTGGCTGGGCCATGTGTGCGGGGTGCATGGGAGGCGTTTGTGGGAGAGGAACAGGAGATATGTCTGTGTGGCCCAATCCTGTCATGACCATGGACTAGCACCGGGGTGCAGACTGGGAGTTAGGGACCCCTGCTCTAGCATCTTTCACAAACTAAAGTGGTGCCTCGCTTGACAATTACCCCGGTAGACGCCAAAATCGCTTCACAATGAGGTTTTCGTGATCGCTACTGCGATCGCAAAATGATGTTTCAATGGGGAAAATCCGCTTCACGACGATCAGTTCCCTGCTTCAGGAACCGATTTTTCGCTTCCCGATGATCAAAAACAGCTGATCGTTGGGTTTTCAAAATGGCCACCCGCTGTTTTCCGGACCTATTTCCGGAAGACACTGATCGAAAATGGCTTCCCCTATGGAGGATCTTCAATTTACAATGAGGTTTTTCGCCCATTGGAATACATTGAACCGGTTTTCAATGCATTTCAATGGTTTTTTTCTTTCGCTTGACGACGATATCGCTTAACAGTGATTTTAACGGAACGGATTAACGTTGTCAAGCGGGGCACCACTGTATAACCTTCTTCACTAGATAAAAGTTACTCTGCATTCTAGGTACATGTAGATAGGCAAAAACAGACAGACACACACATACACATACAAGAAACGTGTGGTTGAGAATAGGATTGTAAACAGTGAGGCTAGAAGAAAATTAAATTCAGGACTTACAGTGGCAATTACACTATTAACACTAGCCATTTACCAAACTATTGCTGATAACACAAAAATACTACCACTAGAACATCCTAAAGAACTGTAATACTGTAAAACGGTCCCTCTGTTACTGTCTCCTAAAACAGAAGACAATCAATCCTGGAATCAAGCAGTAGTTTCTAGTGTTGTTCTGGTAAATCCAGAACGCAGGTGCTCAATATGGCAGTCTCCATAACTAGCACCCCTCCCCTGCAAGAAGAGTAACAAAATGCAGGCAACTGGGTCAGTCCTATTAAGAAATGAGGGGTGAGTTTTTTTGTAAAGCTAATAGTTCTTAGCAGACCATTAAAGATAAAACCCCACTCAAATAGCTTGCATTATAGCAAGGACAGCTAGCAATGATATACTGTACCATTTCTTAAAATAAATAAATAAATAAAAAATCTTCCCTAGCTACAATTATTACACCTAAGTTCAGGGGCAATAGGAAACCTGAGAGGGTGATGTATGATGTCATAGTTCCTGCTACTCCGAAAGCCTGGTGCTTTACCCTGTGAACTCTGGCTCTACTACACCATTACTTATTTTTGCCCCAACCCCACAGATATATAATGAGAGCCTTCTGTTTTCCTCCAGCTCTGTAAGAAATCTCCTATACTCTCTTTCAGATATAATGTAAAAAAGAAATATTTAACTACCCTCATTTACTTAGATGTAAGTTTCAGTGAACTTAGTGAGATAGCCTTCTTTATTACCATTCCAATAACCAGTATCAATATCCAGTAAATGAAGTGAATAACAAATTAAGTATCTTACCAGTCTCCCCTTCAAACCTCTTTTTCCGGGTACACCTGGAATACCCTGAGACAAAAATATATATTTTAAAATTTAATGATGTTAGAAGCTCATGGTTTTTTTTTCTACCATTCTTGTTCCTATTCATTCAAATATCTTCTCATCTCTTATTCTTCACAATTACTATACAATGTGTGTGCCTTAAAGACATTCCAAATGTTTTATAAAAATAACCTTCCAAAGGGGAACTAAAACATGGCACAACATCTATGTTTAAGCTGGATGACTTGTCTCATTTCAATTTTTTAAAAAATAACAACTGGAAAGTACCTCACCAGTCTGGCAATTTTTGGCCTTTGTGAAGACATGTATGGAGTTTCTGAGGCATTTGCATCCAACTAGCACTACATTTCATCATCTTAATCTTACAGCCTTCAATCTTATTTGCCCCACAGTGCTATCTAATACTATTGGGCATAGAATCTGATGAGGTCAATGTTGCTTATTTACCACATTTAAATTGATCATCCACAACCAAACAGATCATATGGCAGTGTGACAGCAATATAAGACTAAAAGCAGCTAAGAGAAGGGCTAGCTGTATGGGATTTTTCTAGAAATCAGCATCCCACCACTTAAAGAAGGTTACCAAACAGATCATATGGCAGTGTGACAGCAATATAAGACTAAAAGCAGCTAAGAGAAGGGCTAGCTGTATGCCACACCACTTAAAGAAGGTCGTCTATTTCAAGGGAAAAGGCCCACAAAATCAGTAGGGGCTTCAATCAATTGCATTCACTGAGCTGTGCTAAGGCAGGCCCTCTTGCAGGAAAAAAAAACAGCTCCCAAAGAGCTGAAATTGTGCTTATTGGGAACCTTCATTCTAAGGCCAAATAAGAAAATATGCTGTCCTCTAAGGCTGGATTTTTTGGAAACCCAGGGCTTCTAGACCTAGACGTTGCCTAGAATACCCCAGGAAGTCCAGGGGAGGAAAAAAAACTGGGACTGGGAGAGGAAAAAGGAGAGATGTATTTTTTACTGCCATTGTCTGCTTCATTCCACAGGTGTCAGCTGGGGAGAAGAAGGGAAAGTTATCTTAGTCCTACTGCCCGATGGGAATTGCTATCCATTAAGTTCTATAGGGGAGTCTCTCACTGAACTATTCTCCCATGATACACTAGAGCAATTCCACCCCCAATTCATGAGGAATGAAGCAGATAACGGTGGTAGAAAGACATGTCTTTCACCTTCTTCTTTCTTCCTTTCCGGGAGTCAGCCTAAGAATTCTAAGGGAATTTGGGGACTGAAATCTTAGCATTCTGAAAATCCAATCCCTGCTCTTCTCAACAGGCACATAACAGGATGTGTGGGGTTCAAAAGGATAACGGCCCAGGAATTAAACCTCCCTGTTTACTGTTGTGCCAATCCTGTTGAACCCCCTCGCACAGCAGCTATTCCCTTTTGTTTGTTTTGTTTTATTACATATGTGCATCGAATGCCAACATAATGAGACAACATGTTTGGCCTTCAGTTTGGTGTCTGGGAAGCAAACTACCACGAAATGTACAGCAGCTTTGGATTTTATAGCATTTTCTTATCTTAAATGTTTAATAACGGCATAAAACATACTCTTTCTCCCTCAGGTCCAGGCAGTCCCGCCACTCCTGGGGGTCCAATAAAACCCTTAAAAGTAATAAATAAGAGAAACAAACAGATGAGAAAAGTTTTTGCCAGTATAAAGTTAAGATAATTTGCGGTGCTTTTAGATGGCAAGATTACCAAATGAAATCCAATGAACAACAGAACAGCCACTTTTCTTGCTTCCCATGACACAGAAGCTACAACAGTGTGGGTTTATCTGTACAATTCAGTTTATCTGTTCCCCTTCAACAAAATGGTCTCAGGGCGATTCATATAAAACCACATAAAACACAAACACAAACTGAATAAAATCTACATATATATAAACTAAACTGAAAGCCATAGAAAGCATTATATTTCAATGTTACAAGTCTTAGTAACTTTTGCACACCTTTGCAAGGCTCAACTCACAACTGATGTAAGTGAAAATAATGAAGAAAACATAGGATTCCTCCAGATAAGGCACTTGCAACCCTTTAAGTTTCCCATTAAGCCCTGAAGTTAACAGGATTCCAGGACATCCAAATGATATTTTTAATTAGCGTACAGAGTTCATTTTCTATAAATCCTTTTGTCCCTCCTAAACACCTTTATGTATTTTGGGCCACTATATACCACTTTCCTTTCCATTCTGAAGCTTGCCTCCCTACTTTTTTCACTTTAAAAAGTCCCTAGGGTCTGCAAAAATGGGGGAGAGACTGTTTATACTTTGCTACTTCTCTGACCTTCAAAAAAGGGAAAATACGAAAAATGTGGGGACACAGGAGACAGCGAAGTTACTGAGGGGCAGAGGAGGTGATAGAGGAAAAGATGGCGCCAGAGGGGCAGTATCTGAAAGTACCCCAAGTAGCATGCTTGCTTACTTGCAGAGAACTCTCACTGAAATAACTGATGCTTACTTAAAAGTATGGCTGTATCTGTTAACTTGAAAGCAGCCAGTCCCACTGAGCTCAATGAGACTAACATCCCTCTCAGTCAGACTGCTCTCGTTTCCATGGGCTCAGCATGGAGTGAGGAAGAACGCTGACTACAGGTACAAATTCAACAAAATCTCATGGTCTTCCAAACTGGGTAGGGGGAAAGGAGGCACAAATGTCCCATCTGGAAGAACACACACTTACATTTACTGTTCTTATATGAGCACTGTTTTCCTGGGGAGAGCATTCCAACATGATAATCTTTTCACAATCAGCCTATTGTCTTTAAAGTTACTCATTTTCCTCATCAGCGTAGTTGTATATTGTATCATTATGATAAATGCGTCAAACATGGCATCTCAGGACAAGAAAGGAATCTATACGTCAAGTCAGCTATATTTGTCAAATATGGAAAACTACAACTAAAACCAAGTCATGCACATGATATTTTCTTCTGAAAAAAGACGCAAAGGGAAACAGAACTTGTGCATTAGTAACCAGGGTGACAACCACATGTTTATGGAGAAGAAGAGTCACATTTCTCTGATGTTACCACAAATATTCCACTAATCCACAATTTTAAAGTATAGGCTTTGGTGGTGGTAAAAGGATCCCACGTTCAATTCTCAACCTATCCATTTAAAACCTCAGAAAGAAAAGCTGTGGGAGGGAAAACCCTCCAGAAGCAAGATTTATAGAACTGAAGAAGTCACATATTTAATTATGCACAAGGCAGCATTTGAATCCTTAAACCTCCTGATCTTGACACATTACAGATCATAATCCCAGTTAGACTAGTCTGTCAACTATTTCAACAACACATTGCTGAATCTGAATAATCTCTTTCATTCAAAACAAATGAACTAGCTACTTCCACAATCTTATGCTCAGAACTTGAAGATGGTGCATTAAAATTAACATGTTAACGTTAAATTCATTACTTATCTAGACCAGCACCAGAAAAGCCTTCAACATTAAATGTTTAACAACACCATTATTTAAAGTATGATTAACTGAAGTTTTAGTAATTAAAAACACTGGTGTTACAGTATTCCCCTCTATAGAAAGGAATATGTTATTTAACCTTATCCTTCCCCAAAGGGAAAAGGATCTGTGGCTTCCTCTTAGAAGTAAATGTATACTAAGTAGGCCATGTTTCCAGGGCATTCTAGGCAAAGAATACACAGAAGTGGTTGACCATTCCCTTCTTCTAGGGGTGCCTTGGGACTGTGCAGCTTGCTTACGAATACACAGGCTGTTTATTCTGTGTGGTGTAGCGCAGTGGTCCCCAACCTTGGGCCTCCAGATGTTCTTAGACTTCAACTCCCAGAAATCCTGGCCAGCAGAGGGGGTGGTGAAGGCTTCTGGGAGTTGTAGTCCAAGAACATCTGGAAGCCCAAGGTTGGGGACCACTGGTGTAGCGGACAGAGTGATGGACTGGAACGGTGCCTAAATCTCTGCTTAGCTAGCCATGGAAGTTCACTGGGGTATGGAACTGATAAAACCACTCCTTAAGTATCTTACTTACAGTATTCTACTAGAGTCACTATAAAATGGTTCCAATTTAATGGCACATAACAAGAACAACCGCAACAACAAGCCATGTTTACATCCAGCAGGGTGGAATAAGATTTCACACTTGAATAAGGTCTTGTGAAACAGTTGTTATCTTCCATAAACAATGACAACAGAGACTTATGGAGAATGTATGCCCAAGAATTTCTCACATTTTAACTGTATTCAGCTATAAAACTAGGAAATTATTGTGCAAACAGATATTTTGTTTTGCAAAACTGATCACTGTGAAGAAGTGTTTTTTAAAAACTGTTACTTCATAACATTTTCTAAAATAGAACCATTAGCTCAGGCATATAATGGCCTATATTCAACTATAGGCAGAGCAATGATATAAACAAACTACAGTATAGGCTATGAGGATGAAAACAAAACAGACTTTCCACTACATATTAATCACATGCAATCTGTACGTAATTGTGAAGAAATCACAATGAAGTCATAAACAGAGAAACAGCAAATCTAAATGAGTCATCTCCAGTTCCATGTCAAACTATGGATGGGGGAAAAAAGGAATGCATTACACAATTCTTTAAAAAGGCTTACTTACTCTTACACCTTTAGGTCCTGGGTTACCTTCTGGTCCTGCTAAACCCTAGCACAAAAAGAAATTCCTTTTATTTCATTTCTTTTTTAAAAAACTGAGATACGGTATTTTAAAAGTGCACAGCTATTAATTCACAAAGCTGGCAATGTGCTTTTCAAAATCATGACTCTGAAATGTCAGAATATTATACATGCAATCTAGTTCTCAGAGGAGTTTTAAAATATATTATTCCCATGGCATGGGCACAACTTTCTTTTTACTACAGTATTTCTGTGAGTGTATAGAACCCCTTCCCCATTCAATTAGGAACCTAGCAAAGTTAATGGAACTCTGCAAGAACTGTTAATAAATTTTAAAGCCTGGATGCAGTTCCAGTTATTCCCCAGGCACTACCAGAACAATACGGCAATCCAAAATTCACAAAAGGGCACAGCATTTAGGGGAAAAAAAAAGACTGGCATATTGTTACCAGTTGTTATGTTAACTACTGATAATAGTTTCCACAAATTTTAATACCCTATATGAACAATTGTGAATGATTACAAAGCAAATATCAGGCAAATTGATAATTATGAGACCTAAATTATGAGTCAAATCCATTGAGGTATATGTGTAGCCATTGTATATATGCAAAGATATTCTTGATATATCAAGTATTTTGAGCAAATCCAGTATCAACAGATGTTTTCATTGATTCTCACACCTTCTGCACCACAGTGATGGAAAAACTCTTTAGAAGATTAATAGACTTGTGAAAGTTTTTCAAAAAGATTCTCTTCTTCCAGTTGTAAAAAAAAAACAAGATGAATGCATGTACTTAAGGAAACTGCAGAGCACTTGAAGCAATGCTTTTGCATTCCACTACTTGAAGGGAGGAGTCACACTTGCCATCTGAGGCAGCAGGTGATTAGAGTGCAGGAGACACACTCCTTCTCTCCCTCTACCTGCCCAATTTTAAGAAAAGGCAAACCTACACAGAATCCACGAGCCACCTCTCTTCTCCACTCCCACTTCCAGGAATGACCTTGTCCATTCATGAACCTTTCTCCCCTAGCAGCTCTATCTTCCAGAAAGTTTATTCCTGCCAATTAAGCTAACAGCAATATAACAAGTCACATGCCCCTAGATTCAATTCAGAGGTTGGCTCCTGCCTTTATAAGAAAGAGCAAAGTGTGGCCATGAGCCACATACGGACCTCCAGAATCCCCAACCCCCTTCCATCCCTTTCGCCAAGGTGTTTCCTAACTTTCATTTCCAAGGAAAGCCGTTCACAATCAAATGAATTTAGGGAACTACAGTTATTAACTCCAGAATATAACTGTGGTTTAAAAGCTGATCTACTCCAAAGCTGATAATCACAGTTTTCCAAATACAATCAGAAGAAAATAGACTTTTAAAAAAGTATTTACTTAGAGTTCTAAAGCATCTTAGTTAACTTTGTGTTTAGATTTCCAGTTCATTTCCTTTTTTGTTTCCTTATTTCTTTAAAGTAACTAGAATAGTAAGTTCAGTTACTTTTTAAAAATCTGAATGCTACGAGCTGCTGGCCTGTGATACAAATAATTTGCTTCTATCTGACTCCATCATCTCAGCACTCACAATAGCAAATAAGATAGGAGTACAAGGCACAGCAGAAGACAGCACTTGAACCAAGATGTATTCCTCCTTAACTATTCAGTGCGCCCACACCCTATGACTGTACAACTAAATACAGAAGTTACATTTACCATGCCACAAAGTGCAATTATTTCTGAACAAGTTATAATCATAATGTAATGTAATGATGCCTTCATTGTTCAAGAAAAAGAACTAACACAAGTAAAATGTTATATAGTGGTGCCTCGCATAGCGATTGCTTTGGATAACGATGAAATCGCTTTGCGATGAAGATTTTGCGATCGCTTTTGCGATCGCTTTCCGATGTTCCTTATGGGGGAATTTCGCTTTGCGATGATCAGTTCCCTGCTTGGGGAACAGATCATGGCAAAGCAATGCTTTTAAAACAGCTGATCGGCGCCAAAAGCAAGGCTTTTTAAACAGCTGATCGGCACCACACTACCCCCCCCAGAGCTCCTGCATAAATAGGGGACAGCGGGAGGGGGGAGCGGGGGTGTTCCAGATTGGTGCCTCAAGAGGAGGGAGGGAAGGAGGGGCGAAGTGCCTGGCCCCGATCCCCGCACGAACCCCTGCGGCACTGAGCCAGAGAGCAGTCACGGAGGGAAGCGCTGTAAAGGAGGAGGCACCCGCCGGGGATCGGGATAAGGGCGGCAGCGGCTGGACGGGGGTGGGGCGCCAGAGACCCCTCCTCACCCCGTCTGCGCCCCACCAAGGAGACCAGGGGTCTGGTGTTGGCTGACTGGTGGTGGGTGGCGTGTCTCCAGGGCTGGCTAGCTGGCTGGCGAGCGGTGGGTTGATGGCGCACCCCTTCCCGTCCCGGGCGGCTGCCTCCGAGCCCTCGCTCGCCAGAGAAAGACCCTCCGGCCCACCCGTCTGCACCCCGGGACAGGCCCGCCAAGGAGGCCAGGCATCATCCGGGGCTGGCTGGCTGGTTGGCTGGCTGTGCTTTGCCATGATCGGTTCCCTGCTTGGGGAACCGATCACGGCAAAGCAATGCTTTTTTAAAAGCTGATCGGCGGTTTCAAAATGGCCGCCCGCTGTTTTCTGGGATGGATTCCTCGTTTAACAGGCAGCGAAAATGGCCGCGCTATGGAGGATTTTCACTTTAAGGTGAGTTTTTCCCCATAGGAACGCATTAAACGTGTTTTAATGCGTTCCTATGGGGTTTTTTGCCCCGCATAGCGATGAATCCGTATAGCGACGATTTTTCCGGAATGGATTATCATCGCTATGCAGGGCACCACTGTATATAACTAGTTACTTCCAGACCCTGGTTTAGATGAAGCAGAAATTATGTTTAATTAGAGCATTCCTGCTCTGTTTGCTCATATCATAAAGGGAGTAACAGAAGTAGTAGATGCACAAACAAAAGGTTTGCACAGATCTCAGCATTTTAAGTTGATACAGTAATTGGAATTGAGCCTGTTGGTCACGACTAGTTCCACAGAATAGTCTTAGCAACCTTTCATTTTTGTTATATACTGGTTTTTATGATGTGGCTTAAACTCTCTCATTATGATGCTGCCTCAAAACCCTTTATTTTGAGTTTTATGATAGTGCAGCTATGATATTGGGCAGCACATCAACATTCTACAAGGCAATTCTAAAATTGTAAACAGCCCAAACAAATACTTTGAAACCAGGCTTTGGATCAACACCAAATTTGACACAGATACTGGATAGCAAACCAACATCTCTTGCTTCTGTGAGAATTCTGGGGAAGTCTGGACAAATGGTGTTCAATTTACATTTTTTAAATATAAAACTGTTTTACCGCCAACCACATTCAGAAACAGGCAAATCCCAGATAACTCCAGATTTAAAATAGATCATATAAATTGAAAAGATCAGTTTTGTTTATCTTGAAAGAGAATGGTTGGCCTGCTTTTAAAAAAAAGCCTTTCAAAAGGGAAAAACAGCAACTTTGTTATTGCACTGAGCATGCATGGTATAGATTCATCAGCAAATGCTTTGTGAAATGATACATTATATGCATTCCTGGATGGAGCACAGAAATATATTTGGAGAGCTGCAGGGCAACTACCAAGATCACAGAAACAGTCAAAAGAACTTATTGAAAAGATCAGTTTTGTTTATCTTGAAAGAGAATGGTTGGCCTGCTTTTTAAAAAAGCCTTTCAAAAGGGAAAAACAGCAATTTTGTTATTGCACTGAGCATGCATGGTATAGATTCATCAGCAAATGTTTTGTGAAATGATACATTATATGCATTCCTGGATGGAGCACAGAAATATATTTGGAGAGCTGCAGGGCAACTAAAGATCACAGAAACAGTCAAAAGAACTTAATGAAAAACAGCCCTGACAACTACTTTGTGTTTGGATTTGAAATGGTCAATTGATGAAATAAAAAGTATTCCCTTCTGGGATTCTACTATTTACAAAGAGGTGTCTCTGTGAATAGTAGAGAGCACAACAGGGTATCCTATACACCATCTTTGCTGCTGACACCAGTGCTATATTCAGGCTGCCCTGTTGCTTTGTAAAATTTAGCATCCTTTTTCCTGCAGGCAACATGGACACAATATTGTGCAACAGTATCAGGCCACTTCCTGGTGTTCTGAATTGTGGATACAGAAGCACACTATGCCGTGTGAGGAAGATGACAATAGCATAGATACCCTGTATAGGCAAGGCATCTCACCTTATCTCCAGTTCTGGGGAATCCCAGACAGCAAGCTCCCAGTGGATCTGGGAGACGAATGGCCAAATGAGTGACAGGGGGACCCATGTCCAAGGAACTCAGGGCTCTAGAGCAGGGAACCCATATGGAAGCCCTGGAGGGGGGAAGTGCAAAGGGAGAATTCAGACTAAGAATGACCCCTAGAGAAGTAGCAGGAGGAAGGCCCATGAGAGCTCAAGGATATAAAGGAGGTTCTGGATGCAGATATAGGAGAAATCATCACGAGGCCAGAAAGCAACAGGGGGTCCAGACAGACAACCTATTATCATATGTAATAGTGGAGGACGTGGAGGACGAGACAGCCTGGGAAAAGGCTTTGGAGGATGCAGAACCCACAGGAGACTCATGCTTGCTTCAGGCAAAGTGAGCAGTATTAATATTCTGGCTATAATTCACCTAGTTTGTCTTATATAAACAAAACTAGACTGGTAGCAGTAAGTAATAAATTTATT